CTTCCCTACATAGGCCTACCTGATTTTTCCAGAACTGCTGTTCCATCAACTAAATAAGTTATCTTTATATGATCACCTTGTTAGCAAATAATTTAAACAAATATTTAACCTGATTTAACCCAATCATTTTCAAAGGTCACTTTTAACCTCATTAAGTCTGTGCTTCAATCTGTCATTTTAATTTTTTTCTATCATTAAAACTGTTTGTTGATCTGAGCATCCTACAATATCCACTCTGTTTGTTCACCTTTATCACTTATTTCTCCACAAGTTTATTAATTTGCTCATCATTCCATGTGGTTGCAAATTCATTGGTCGACCTATCCAACTATTGATTTTTTTCCCCGTCATCAATTAACCTGTTTATTAATTATTTACTTGCTTATTCATTCATGCATCTGTTATTTTTCTCTGGCTTGACAGACTCTTTATCCACTTTTCTATGTCCCTGGTTTGTCCATCGTCTATTGATCCACAAATCAGGCTTAAATCAGAGGCAACTACACTTTCAGTCAGTTTTCTGAAAACAGTTCAACACCTATCCAGAAGTATTTGTTATTTCTGTCAGTGCACACAAAAGCAATCTGTATTTGAGGCATTGGTGTTTCTAAGCACCTATAGACCCATCCTCCTAAGCACATTCCAAGTCAGATGTAATTAATGACCCACCTGTTGTTCTTCTGTGTCGTTGGAGACCCTTGTCTTATATTGGTTTTGTGTTTGTGTCATGATCAGGGCTCTGAGAGCAGACCTAATTGTTCATTTCTTTTACCTGGCTAAATCTACCCGGTTTCCAATTACCACTCATCTTATCCACCCGCTCCTGCTTCTTTATATACAGCTCAGTCTTAGCTATCGGGGCCAGATCATTGAGTTGGAGATCATTGCTGATGTCATAGTTCATGTTCCTGTTCTCAGGGGACCAGTGATGTGGTGTTCCTGTTTTCCTAATCATGTTCTGTCTCTTATCCACTGAGCATGCCCTGTTCATGTATTGGCTTAGTGGAGAGACCGGGTTTTTAGCGTACCTCTCTGTGGACTCCGGAAACCCTGAATCTGCCTGTTCCTATTCTTATCAGTATCCATGACTCGGCTTCGGACTCCTGAACCTCTTAGCCACCCTGTTCTGATCTATTTATTTGTTCTGGCTCAGAATCCTGCTTGCCCTCAGGGACTGCAGCATCTGGGACACTCTGGGTGGCACCCCCCACATCTGTGTGGCAGCCCTCTGGCTGGATTTTACCATGTTCTAAGCAGGTGGACTGAACTTTAAAACCAGGTAAGTGACTCACATGAATAACCATCCTCCATCAGATTACCATGGTCACTTACAGTACCTGTGTTTTTCTCCACCAAAGTATCCAGAGATGGGCAGTGCCCAGCCGCAGCCTCTGCAGTTCCGCAGCCTAGATATATGCCTTTTAAGTAATCACTGTCTGTCTCATCTGAATGGTCATTTGAATCATGGTGGGCATACTTGTGTAACATCTTTAGAATTACTTAAAGGACACCTCTCTTTTCAGTCATGGCTTAAAACTGAGTGAAAGTCCAGTTGACTCTGAATATGACCCAGATTATCCAATTAATCCATTTTTACATTTAATTTTCATAATATGTAAAGGAATTTTATTTAGAAGAAAAATACATCAAGATAAAACTCCAACCCATTCTGAATAAGGTAACATTCACAGAGTCATTGCACCAGATGCCCAGTGGTGGTTTTACAGTTTTGAGGGAGCTTGGGTGTTTGGATGGAATAAAATTTATTTTCGAAGAAAAAAAAGTACCTACCATTTTCCTCAGGATAATACTGTTGATTTTATTATTTTAAAAGGAAGAGATATATTTGCAAAGAAAATACCCTAAAGAATGCAACTGAAATACTGTATTAATACCTGGTTTGTTTTTTATTAAACCACAAGAGTGATGTTGCGCTTGATTAGAAGGGGAAACTTTAACCCCAAACGGGTAAACATTGTTGTTATAAACGCTGAAAGGAAACCATTAACAAGACGTTGTTGGTTATGTTAAAAGAAAAGAAGAATACTAATTAATCCCAGTGGAAATGTAATAAGTCAACATTTCCCCTATCATTCTGTTTCTGTTCTAATGCCGACTATTGTAATCAAAAAGGGTCAGCAATGAATACCAATGGTTTGCAGAAACTCAAGGACTTGATTTGCATAAAAAATTTCGTCAAACAAATTCATTGATCAACGGTTGCCTGATTAAGTACCGTGTGCAACATTAAGTTAATTTATAGCTTCAATTCCTGCTACTGTGGAATGGAAAATGTCAGCACTGATTCAGAGTTTTCTGACAGCCTTATGAAGTGTTACCGCTGAGAAGAACAGCTGAATGATGAACAAGAGGGCTGACAGAAAGATAAAATGAGTCGTGGCAAAGAACGACACACAGCAAAACCACAAAGCATTGTGAAAACATGGATCCTCACTAACTATTCCTCTGAAATAAATAAATTCATTTTTTTCCTCTGATTTTCAATGACAAAATTCACTTACATTTTTTTACACTACACTTTCCAGAAATATTTCATAGTCCACGCAACAGGGGAAGGAAGGAAGGAAGGAAGGAAGGAAGGAAGGAAGGAAGGAAGGAAGGAAGGAAGGAAGGATAACATGACACAATCTTGCTGTAACTATATTTTTTCTATACTTTCGAATTTCCATAGACCTAGACATCAATAAAATCAAATTCCATACTTCAACGTGTGGAGCCCTGAAAGACAGGTCAATATTAATGTTTAAATTTGTATTTTCATATGACATTAATTTTAAGATATATTAATGTTTAAATGTAAATATATATTACATTTTTATTTATACTTTTTTAAATCAAGGTGTAATTTTGGCTTGAAATATATAAAGATTTTAAGTTAATCCAAATAACTGAATGTATTGTTATACGATTTAGTCCCTTTACTTGAAAATGCCTTAAATGAGCACAGGCCGTTTACAAATTTTTACAACAAAAAACGTTTCAGAACAGCAAAAAACTTTTAAAGAAAAAAAATCCTTTTAAAGAAAATAAACACTTTGCTCATTTATGTTGTGTTTCCATTTCTAAATTCATATTCTGTTCACACTTAATACATGCAGGGTCACGGGGGACTGGTGCTTATCTCCAGGGGTCATGGATAACAGGCGGGAAGCGCCGTGGACAACATGACACAGAGATGCGTTTAAATAGCCATGCATGCACTCGCCCAAGTCTATCTTTTTAAACCTATGCAAATTACATAAATGGCTGCAATCACAACAGCCTTAACAATACAGCACAAACTATTTTAAATTGGAAAATAGTTGCAATCCAATTTATTTTTTACTTTTAGTTTAGATCATTATTAAAGATGATCTTTTTAAAACACTCTGCCAATTCAATATTCATATTTCCTAAAGTAAAAGGTGCATTCACCCTGGGGTGCACTCCACTTCACAGAAAAGAGCCAGATCTGAAGCTGTTTAAAAGAAAAGACGCTTTGGAAAAGGAGAGAAAACTGTTGCGGTAAGGCGATGGTGAGGAGTCACAACAGAAGCCCAGAGTTAAAAGACTACAAAAATGATAGAAAAAGATGTAGAAACTGGAGACAGCAGCAGAGGGAAGGCAGGAGGGAAAGTGCTGCATATCCTAACCTTATTAACAACGGATGCTTTTGGAGAGAGAGAGATCAGGAAGTGAGGAGAAAGAAGGAAAAAGAGATGAAAGGGGTTTAAAGAACAGTGAAAAAAGGTACAAAAGGTTAAGATGAAGGCAAGGACCAAAGCATAAAATAAATAACCAGAGAAGCAGGTCTAATAAGGAGAAATACTGCATGGAGCTGTGAGTGCACAGACCCACCAGGAAACCACTTTGGTGTGAGACTTCATCCTGGTAATAATGTTGGAGGTCAATAATATTGGAAAATGGCAGAACAATTAACATTTCAGAGGTAAAGGTGATGCAGCTGCCGTTTCTCAGAGGAATGAAAAATAACTAAAGCTCTGATAAAAACAGGATGAAAACTGGAAAACAAAGCTGCAGTATTGGGTTCTTTTGCCACAACTGCTAAGAAATATTCAGGAGAAAAACATTTCAATTCAAAGAACCAGGGTTATCTCACTAATATTATTTTAAAATTCTTTCCAGTTTTAAAACAATTAGTTGAAATTATTATCAAAAAACCATTGTTTCTTAATCAAATTCCTAACTCAAAGGTTATTTGCAGGCTATATAGCAGTACATACCATATTTACTTTGAGAAAATGTGACAACAATACACCATATAGAAGCAGTTTGTGCAGCAGATCAGAGGAAAGCTTTGGAATCCATGTGCAATCTGCCAAAAAATGCCCCTTTCATACAGTGTTTACTAATTAAACCAGCTTTTTCGGCTCATCCGAAGCATACTTTTCTTTTTATTCAGTGCGCCTTTTGAAAAGAATGTTTATTGGGATCTCTCGCAGTGGAAAACCTAACCTCTTTACCCAGTTATAGAGTCATAGTTCATGTACGTTTTTTGTGAAAAAGTGCATCACTAAACATTGACTTAATGGTGACCTAATAATTTTTTTCAATCGCAGAAACAGTTAAGTTTTCTTCTTATTTCTTTGTGTGCATTACGGATCTCCGAAGGATTTATTGTTAATTATCAGGAAAAAAACAAAAAAGGAATTTGGCTGTATTGATGAGCTGACCCAAATCACAAACTGTAATGTCCATGGGGTACTTTTGTGGTGGTAACATTTTTTAATTCTAAGATAAACGTTTAAACTAAGAGTCCCTACTTTAAGAAAAGTATCTCCCACGACATGGTCCCTATTTTTAATAGATTAACAACTGCTGGGGTTTTTGTGTTTGGGGTTACAAAGCAGAAGGATGCAGAGTGGAAGGAAATTGGCAATACTTAAAGAACCGGTGCGTAAGTGCGCAGCGCGCTCTGGATGTCTTTATCCACCCATCCATCCTTCCATCTATCCAAGCAACCTGCGCTTCATACTCACATCCAGGATGACCGAGATGCCTCTCCGTGGCTCCGGGGCGAAGAACTGCTCCTGAGCCACGGCCACCTCCTCCTTGCTGGAGGCGAACTCCCGGCTGGAGATGTTCTTGTTGTCGCTCATTTTGGTGACGATCCAGCGGACGAGCCCGTCAATTCCACCGGGCTGGGCGCCGCTGTTTCCGGACTGCGCTGCCGTCGCGGACTCGCTGTCCTGACCGGTTTCGAGTTTCGGCTGCTCGCGGCTTTCTTGGGATCGAAGTTTGGCTTGTTCTTTGTTCAGCAGTTTGTGGACCCCGTCCCTACAGTAGCGCGCTGCCTGCTCACACATCCTTTTGCTGCGGAGCGCTCATGCTGCGCTCTATGGGGAGAGAGAGGAGCTCCCTCCCCCTCCTCTCCCCCAACACTTCGCTTGTTACATCACAGTACCAACCCCAAAACACACCCATGCACCCATCCAGCAGCTAAACACCCCTTAATCTGTACAGAATATAATGTATATGAGGAACATTACTAATTTAAGTCATAGCAAATCACTTTATCTCGACATTAAGCCATCTAAATGACATAATAACCTCCTTCCTTTTGAGACTTCTACTAAAAAAAATGAGTTGAATATCACCAAAACCTCACCAAAGAAAAATAATAAGCTTGCATCTTAAATTAATTGTACATACTGATGGGGTGCACATTAATTGTCTGTAGTTGTTTAATCGGTTGATGCCTTAGAGCTTATAAAGACATGTAAATACAAAACACCATAGATAAAAGATTTTTTTTTACCAAGACAAAAGGAGAAAAAGGCTGCTGTTTTACAGGTTGTCAGGAATGTAAGCCATAAGATGTTACTGCTGAAGAAACTTGCAGATTAAAGGAAAGTTTAGTGGAAGGAAAAAACAATCAAATACTGCTTCAAGAGCCATAACAAAAAGCTAAGATATGGATTTGAACTGTTGCATTTGTGATAAAGGGTGGAGTAGAGATGCAAAAAGCAAACAGAGCCAGTGGTGTTGCCTGGTCTGGGCAATCCCACCTATAGCCCTGAAGGATTGTCATTAAGTCCGGGGTCGTTCTTTTACCGGAGACAGAAGAAATTAATTGAGCTTAACAGTGATATTAAATAACATGTATTGTAATTTACCAGCTCTACTGAATGCAACACACACGCTATGACCAATCACAGAGAAGTTTGTGTAGAAGCAGACCCTGATTGATGTATTATTGACTACAAGCAATGATACTATTCAATATTGTCACAAAGAAAATAAAAGTTCTGTTGTGGTGTCTGGCGGGGGACAAAAAGAGCCACGATGGAAAAGGTAAGCAATAAAGGGATTTAAATCTAGTATCTGGCTTTGAAAACTATGTGAATATCAGGCAGCTCATTCATGATGTCAACATGATGTCAAACTTGATATAATTGTAACCAAACCCCCGTCCATGCCCTTTTCTAATAGCTGTGAATCTGTTGTGCTGAATTGAACCCTGATACATGAAACTTGAGTTTGTGTTAATCAGGAGTTAGAGTAGCTCATCTTTTATGTGTCTTTCTTTAGAGAAGGACCACTGTTTATGTTGCACCATCCTCAATATAGCTACAAGGAAAAAACTATATTGGTGAATCCTGAATATTTATTCTATTTCATTTTGTTTTTGGAATAATCAAAATGGAGAAGTTAGAGGGTTAAAATAAAAAAAGTATAATTTAGCTATATATGTAGAATATGTTGGTCTATATATTTAAGGTGCATGCATGGTGTAATAAAACAAGATGAACCAGTAACTTTTTTTTATATACCGGTAGTACCAGCAAGAATTTAAAATTGCTTTTCCCAAAGCTCTTTGTTTCATTCAAGAGTGACAATAATTTATTTCAAAAGTTTTTTTTTTTTACAATCTGTTTATCTGATATTTATGGGTTAAATCAAGTGACGTCTCTAGATGTTTATAAACAGCAGACTGTGCATATTGCAGTATTTGGCTTCAAACAAGGTGTCAGAATACTCAAGAAGGCTTCAACAGAGAGCCCATTTTACCAGTTAAATTCACTGAGATTCCCCTATAGGGCGTGGGCTCAGCCCCCAATGTTCCCAGTACAGAAATGCCCCTGCAAAGAGCTAATATTAAATGCATATGAAGAGGAGGATGATGAGGATGTTCACTGTTGTCCACAATCATCTTCACTTTATGAAGAGTTCTCTGTCAAATCCTCTTCAGAGGTTCCAGAAGAGTTCCTAGAACAGAGCTGGTCATCTTTATTAGCTTGTTGAGCTTTGTTAGGTGATTTGCTCTGATGCTTTCATCCCAGATGATGGAGGAAGAGATCCCACTCTCCAGAAAATATATAGTATTTTGGTGAAAACACTACAAGCTTCTACAGAAAGTACAATCTGCTCTTTCCCTTCTTGCAGAGGGCTTTGCAGTTGGGTCTCCAGTTGTTTGTTGTGCAGCTGAACACCATTATAATAACTAGAAAGATAGCTGTTCCTGCGAAACAGCCATGAGAATGCTGTACCCTAAACTGGAAGCTGAAAATGGCAGAAACTGCTGAAATTACATGAAATGGAAAAAAAAGATACATGCTTAATTTCTTAGTATGCTGAATCAAGCCAATTTTTAAAATATAGACTGAAATGTAATAAATTTGCAGAATCGGAAAAGAAATCAGCAAGAAAATCTTATATGGTTGAAGAAATAAATGTTGAAGAATGTGGTATTGAATGAGCAGTTTAGTGCTAAATAAGGAGCTTGATTAAAGTGATGAAAAACGTAGCTGTACTTTTAGTGGAATTTTTTAAGTTTTCCATTAATTTCTCTGGGCCAAAAGAAGCTTAATATTTACAAAAATAAAAATCGAAATTTTTAGCATAACCCTCCAGAAGAAGCTGAACATTTTGATACCCAAATTGTTGAAATCGGCTGAAGTATGCGGGACTAGTTAGAGGCGGAAAAACGAAACAAGAAAACAATGAATGAGAATCCATCAATGCATTCTCACTTGATTACACTCCTTCACCACCTCCACTTCTTCTTCCATGATGTTAATAGGATTTAACTTGTTTCCGTTTCTTCTGAAATATACAATCATCTCCCTTGTTTTGTTTACATTTAGGATCAGATGATGGTTTTTTACACGATGCCACAAAGCAGTTCCGCACCTTTCTGTATGGAGCTTGTTGTCCATCTTTGATGCATCCAACGGCTACAGAGAGATCTGAGTATTTCTGCTGGTAACAAAACTATCTTGTACTGGAAGTCAGAGATGTACAGAGGAAAAAGGAATGGTGAGAGTACCATCCCATTTGGTATTTCTGTGCTGAGAGAGCTGACCCTTCAATCTAACAACCTCTGGTCTGTTTTTTCCGGTAATCTTTGATCCAGGCAATTGTTGACGCCTCCACCTGAGTCTTCAGGTTTTTCAAACAGAATAACATGACTGTCACAGTGCTGCCTGCCTTGTGTTAATGACAGTGTGTTTTGTTGAGGCAGATGCATGATGGAAACTTTAATCTCCACAGCAATAAGCAAACTGCAAAGGGTCATAACAGTAATAAAGTGTTTCTTTGTTTAAAATAATAACCACAGAGTATTGTAAGTCATACAATTTGGTTTTGTTGAGAAGTTTCAGTTATTTAATTATCTTTATTTCTTGCAGGATTTTGTTGCTAAAATTCCACCTTTTCCAAGTTTGATTGGTTTTGTATTTTCGTTAGTAATTTCTGAAGCAACAGATCATTTCTTCCATCAGGAAAGAAAAAGTAGAATATTTCCTTTGGGATTGTTGTACCGAAGCATAAAGTGATGTACAAGGGACTGCTTTATCTCCCTTTTAATGTCCAGACTTTTTAATATTGATTTACCTTTGAACATTAACGGTAGGAAATTCTTCTCCCCAATGGGAGGATCAGAGGATTTTGCCTCATCCAGGAAGTAGGAGTCTCTCCTGGACTGTCACTCCAGTTACCCATTAGGGGTTTGTGTGCAGTGCATGTCTGATGTGACATGTCTAACCTTTGGTAATGAGACTCCCCCAGCTCTGCCCTTTCTCTTTAGCAGAGAGCCTTTGCTTAAATGTGCTGCGTGTCTAACAGAACACAACACCGGTTTGCTTGCATTAGGTCCTGCTGAGGGGCCAATGGAGTGACCAAAAAGAGAAAAAAAAATTATACACATCTTTTGAGCCATAATTCAAATTAACTCACTTGACATGAGTGCCCCCCTGTGGAAATGACAGGAAGTGGTTATCTGCAGACCTCATTCAGTTAAGGAGAGCTTATTGGATGGAGAAAGGTTTAAAGATACAATCAAAAGAAATCTATTTTACATTTTTGGCATCAACATTTAGATTTAAGATTCAAAATAGTCCAAAATCTCAACAAATAAAATAGAGAAAACCTAAGCTGTATGAAAGAATAAAGGCATAGAGGTCTGATTGTAATGAAGTTTTTTTTTTTTTTTTTTTTGTAGCTAGCAAAGAAAACTTTGTTTCCATTGGAGTTGAACAGGGCTTGCTGTGGCGCTGGCTGCAGAGGGCCAGCTTTCCAATCCATGGTCCAGGAGACCCTTCTGGAGGTGCTGCAAAGGACAACGGTGCTGCAAAGGCTATGCTATCCACTTCTTTGACAGTAAAGTAGGGATGGTAAACCTAGGAGTAAAATAAATAGATTCATGTGGCAAAATTTTAGGCATGCATATAAGAGAAAAACAATAGTTTGTTTTAGGAAGACTGCTTGTATGTATACCATATGTATAGAACAAAACTGTGCTGCTGAATCAAAGGGAGGAACAATTCACATTCTGAGGAGTAAATGTTTCAGATTTGGAAACTCACTTTGCACGTAGTAAATGTTTACATTTGCATAGCCTTCATCCATGAATTTGTGACAGAGACTCAAAAAAAGGTTAGCACCTGCTGAATTGAACATCATATAAATTTGAACCTTCCTTGAAGATCTCTGTGATCTTGTACCTGTTTTAGAATGCAAACCTTCAGAAGATCAGACCGTTAGAGATAATTCTCATTTTAGGATGTCTTAATCTATTCCCTATTAGAAATGGAGTCTCAATCAGTCATTTTTAAATGAATTGCACTATGGGTAGCTGTAACTGGCCTACTTGTCAACAACACCAACAAGAATCTGTATAGTTCAAAAGCACAAATCAACAGTTATTTGGACACCTTAAAATACTGTAGGTGTCCTTTTTTCAAGGGTTTTTAAGCAACCCCTGGAGTCCCCATGAATCTATATTTCCCTTTTTTCATTTTTCCTTAAGGGAACAAATGGAAAAGCACAAACCGACAATTCACACTGTGTTTCTGTTAGGACAGTATTGTAGCCAATTTATATAATTTTGCTT